CTGGCAGGCGCAGCCCGGCACCCTTCTCTTGCCTGCCCTGCCAGGGGTGCCCCCAGGGGGCTGGCACAGGGCTGGAGGGCGGCTCTGGCCCCGCTCTCCTTTGGGTCTCCTGCATGGGGCAGCTGCCAGACCCGCTTTAGGGCTGCTCCTCTGGGTCACGAGGGTCCAGCTGGCATCGTCCCTGCGGGGCACTGCGGGCCCCGGGCGCGGACGGTCCCCTTATCTCCTCGGCTCCCACGCAGGGCCCAGGCTGGGGGAAGCAGGAAAAGCCCATGACTAATCGGTGGCAAAGAGCCCGCAAGCTCCCAGTGCACAAAACTGGCCCCCTCTGTGCACTCCCCCTGCCGTGCTGGTAACCATGGCCTGGCCTTGGTGATGCAGCCTGGTGGGGAGCCCCAGGATGGGCACCCCGGTTGGCACAGCAACCCCCAGGGCCAGCTGGTGGATGCTGGATCGGGATGGGGAGATGCTGATCTGCAGCTGTGTCCATGCACCCCTGGGTGTTTGCAACTGCCAGGCACAACGGCCAGGACAGGCAGGAGCAGGCAGGGGTGAAACAGGACCAATATACACCCAAACTGTCCCAGCTGGCTCATCAACCGGAGCAACGGATGTTCCCGTGGCTCTGCTTGGTCCCGGTCTGGGTGGCAAAGCCCAGCTCCTGAGTGTGATTTTTTAGGACAAACAGTGCTGTGGGGGTGGCCAGGGCAGACCGGGCGTTTGAGGCAGTCCAGGGGCTGGGGCATCCATGCCTGGGTGCTGGCAGAGCCTCTCTGCGGGTCCCAGAGCCCACTAGCTGGGCTGAGCATTGCCTGTCTCTCTGCTGTGAGGGTTGTGCCGCTGGAGCATCGGTGCTGCAGCAGACACGGGCACGGGCTGAGCGACCAGTGGCTGGGGCAGCAGCGGGGCCCAACACAGCTGGGGACTTGCCCCCGTGCCTCTGGGCAGTGATCATTGGCGTGGCACTTCCCTGGGAAAGCCTCAGCTGGGGAAAAGGGTGGTGCTGGATCACGTGGCAGCACCATCCACCCGCCGGGCATGATTTCACCGGGCGCCTCTGGACTCTGCCCTGGGAGAGTCCTGCCATGCCGCACGCCACCCTGGAGTGCTGCCAGCAGCACTGGGCTCCTGGCCAGCCGGGAGCAGGGAGGGGAACAAAGCCAGTATAACCCGTGGCTCCCCAACTGGCTCCAGCCTGGCTGTGCTGCCCAGCGGGCACGCGCCTGGCCCTTGCCGTGGAGCTTCCCCAGTGCTGGCAGGGACACATGCCCATACGGGGATCCTGGGGATGGGTTGGTGGGATGGGGAATTTCCTCCAGTGCTGGTTGCTGGCTCATCTGAGTTCCTTGCTGCATTGCACAGGGTGAGCGAGATGCTGGCAAAGGCCTGGAGATGCGGAAGCTGGTGCTCTCTGGTTTCCTGGCCAGCGAGGAGATCTACATTAACCAGCTGGAGGCCCTCTTGTTGGTGAGCACAGCCCCCAGGCTGGGCACCCCTTCCAGGGATGTCCCCCAACAGGGGTGGGTGGATGGATGGATGGATGGACGGACGGACGGGGTAATTCCTTCCTGGATGGGGTAATTTCTTCCTGGACAGCCTTCCCTGGGCAGGTCTGGCCCAGGCGCTACCTGGGTGGGAGCAAAGCTGCAGGAGCCATGCCAGAGCCAGCCTTGCTGTGGTCTGGCCGCCCTCGTCTCGCCTCCCCCTGCTGCCAGCGTGCCTGGTGGGGAGGTATTTATAGCTTGGCTTCCTCTTGCGGACTCACTGGCCCCTATGGCAGAGATGCTGTTGCACAACACAGGGGTCACTGCTGCTACGGACGGGGAAATCTGTGGGGATGTACGAGCCAGCAGCTGCTGGCCAGGACCCATCCCGGGCAGCCCTCGCTGCTGGCTCAGGACACCCTCATCCCCAGCATCCCTGGGCTCCTACATCCGTAGCATTAGCCTGGCTGCAGAGGAGGTGGCCATCGCTGCCCACCGTGCGGTGGCAGGGCTGCCTGTGGAGCGTGAGTTTGGGCTCCCAGGAGCTGCAGTGTGGGGCTGGAGGAGTTTCGGAGTCACTTCTCCTCCCAGCCCTCCTCTCAGATGCTCTCCCTTCTCCTTCGGCAGCCTATGAAGCCACTGAAGGCCACAGCCACTACGTCGCAGCCTGTCCTCACCCTCCAGCAGATCGAGACAATTTTCTACAAGATCCAGGACATCTACGAGATCCACAAGGAGTTCTATGACAGCCTGTGCCCAAAGGTGCAGCAGTGGGACAGCAACATCACCATGGGCCACCTCTTCCAGAAACTGGTACGCACCTTCCCTGGGGCTTCGCTCTGCCTGGAAGAGGAGGAGGGCTGGGGAGATGGACCACCGTGCTGTGGGGCTCGGCCCTGTGGAGTGGCGCAGCTCACACCCTGCCACATGCTTGCTGGTGGCCGTGGGACTTGTTGCATCCCTCCCTGCAGCAGCTGCTGCTGCCTGCCCCAGCCCTCCCATCCCAGGGTGGGAGTTTGTGCAGCCTCCGTGCCCCTTGCTGCAGCGGGGATGCCCACAGCTGGCGGGTCCTGGGTGCAACTGTGGTGGAATTTTGGCTGCAGGCGCATGGTGTGGCTTTGCTGCGGGGCTGCAGGAGCCCCGGGTGTGCGAGTGACTCTCTGGAGAGAGGCAGGGAGGCTGCCTCTTTGCCCCTGGCTGCCCAGGGGGGTTTTGGTGGTGGCTCCCTGGGGTCACGCTCCAGGTCCTGCTGCTGCTGCTTTGGACTTGTGGTGGGAACACAGGCTGTGCCCGCGGGTGCTGTGGCCATGCTGGGGAGGGGAGGAGGAGAGGGCAGGTCGAAGGGTGCTGGGAAGCGGCTGTAGCTTCAGCCTCCACTGTCATAGAATTATAGAATCATAGAATGTTTTGGGGTTCCAGGGATGGGGCCTCCACTGCCTCTCTGGGCAACCTGTTCCAGTGTTTTACCACCCTCATTGTAAAGAATTTCTTCCTTATATCCAGTCTAAACCTACCCTGTTTTAGTTTAAAGCCATTATCCCATGTCCCCTTGCCCTCTCCGGGCACCCCTTTGCTTTCTGCTGGATTTCAGAGGTTTGTGGGGGCACAGGGTTGGGCTGGAGCCCACCATCCTGCCCCAGGTGAGGGCCTTCCATGCAGGGCCAAGCGTGCAGCCCCCCAGCTAGCTGTGGTCTGGCAGTGTCCTGCTGGGAGGGGACAGCTCTGGGCAGCGTCCCCTTGGCGCCTCCCTGGCCTGTCATGCTGGGGGGGGGCGGGTTCGGCGTCCCTCCAGGTGCCCAGCTAACCCCCACTCCCTGCAGGCCAGCCAGCTGGGGGTCTACAAGGCCTTTGTGGATAACTACAAAATCGCATTGGAGACAGCGGAGAAGTGCAGCCAGAGCAACTACCAGTTCCAGAAGATCTCAGAGGTGAGCTGGACCAGGGCCGTGCCAGGAGGACGGGGCTGCCACAGCTGGGCTTTCCCAGTGCAGGACGGAGAACCTTGTCCCCATGGCCAGGCTGACTGCGTGTGCCCCACGGAGATGCTCTCCTCACCCCAGGGACTCTCAGGGACTGTCCCCAGGGTAGGGCCATCGGCAGCTGTGCTGGAGGGTCATGGCCCTCTGGGTGTTGCAGGGGTTTTACGCCCCCATCTCATGCAAGCTTAGGTTGGGCTCAGCCGTCGCTGCTGTCATTTCTGGGATGCCGGGGCAGCCTGCACCCGCTTGCCCCATCCAGTGAGTGTGGGTGCTGGGCACCTGTGGCTCATCTCCTCCTGGCTGCATCTCCATGCCTGGCTCCCCTATAGAAGTGGGGACCTCTGTCGCCACAGCCCAGCTCCCCGCTCTCTCCACGCCTCCGCAGCGGGGCTGTTCAGCTTGGCGGGACCAGCAGTCTCCCCACACCAGCTGTGGGTGCTGTGCTCAAAGGAGACTTCTGGGGCACGTGGGGGCTGCCCTGTGGGTCCACCATGTCCCAGCTGCTGGGCCAGGCAGCATCCTGTAGTCTACACCTCCACCCCAGCACCCATGCGCGGCCTCCAGCATGGCCAGGCTGGGGCTGGGGGAAGATGTCAGGGTGCAGGAAGGGTGGGGGGCAACCCGTGACCTTGAGCAGTGACCTTCCCCCCCACCCCCAGTCCCCATGGGCTGCTCTGATGGGCCTTTCCCTCCCCAGGAGCTGAAGGTGAAGAGCTCCAAGGACTCAAAGGAGAGCCACACGTCCGTCACCATGGAGGGTACGGCAGGCGCGGGCACGGGGAGGGGGACGCAGCCTTTTGTCTGCGCGCGGGACCGGTGCGGATGAATTGCTGAGCGGCTCCCGCGAGTGGAGCTCTTTGTGTTCCCGTGTGCGGAGCCGGACAGGAGTGAGGCCGTGCTGAGGGGCCGATGCCGTGCTGCAGCCGGGCTGAGCTGCCGCGGGGCGGCAGAGATGGCTGCGCGGAGACGGGGCTGCCATGGAAATCCTCGTCGTCGTCCGGCTCTGCTGTAACTGCACCTACGGTGAGGTGGGGTGGTGCAGCTCCGAATTCGGGTGCTGGTGGGGAGCGATGCTGTTGGGGACACTGGCCTGGGGCCGGCTGTCCTTGCATGGGGGTGGAGGCTGCGTCGTGCTCTGCAGCCTGAAGTTGGGAGTGTCTTTGTTCCAGGCTCTATTGAATCATCTTGGCTCCGGCACATGCAGCCACGCGCTCGCCTTCCCCGCCGGGCAGGGGCTCGTACTGGTGGCGGGACAGTGAGGGCCTGGGGTGGTGGTGGGGGGGCTGTGCTGCGGGGAGGGCGATGGGGAAGGGTCCCCGTTTGCTCACCGGAGGCGGTGAGCATCGCAGGGCTGGAACGCTCGTCTCTCGGCAGCTTTTTCTGGGGAGGAGAGGAGCCAGGCATCCCTGCCTGCTGGTGCCTGGTCCCATGCTGCCCATGTGTGGGTCCCGGGCTGGCGGGACCGTGCTGATGGGGAGCCCAGTGCTCCTCCCGTGTGCCGGGACGGCCCCTGCCAGGGCTGCCCAGTTGTTTGCATGTGCCTGTAGCGATGAGGGTCCGTCCTCGCCCTGAGTCCAGGATGGGGAAGGGGGGGACAACCTGCCTGCCCCCTCCATCCCAGAACAGGGCTCTCACTGGCTGCTGCAGGGAGTGGGGCTCCAGTTTTACCCACTGGCATGGAGTCAGGGATGCAGTTCAGAGTCCATCCCCACGTCCTTGCATCCCAAGCAGAGCCCCCCTGCTCGCTGGGACAGGGGGTCCCTCTTTCAGGGCCAGATGCCACAAGGCAGCACCCTCTGGGGGAAATGGGATGGAAGCCCCCCACTGCTCATAGCACAGGGTGGGGTGGGTGGAATCTTTCCCTCCTCTCCCCCAGCCCAAAGCCCTGCCCTGCTTGGCCCCAGCAGTTTGGGGAAGTGGTTTGAAGCAAAGGGAAACCCCAGAGGCATCAGCCTGGGTGTAAGCAGCCGAGGGAGGCATGCGAGCAGATGGATGCAGGGAGCAGCTCTGTGGATGTGCTCTGTGCTTTTGCCTGCCCAAAGAGCCGGGGAGGAGGAGAGGAAGGGTCCGGCTGCTTGGGGTGAAACTGTGCCTTTGAAGATCACCCAGGGCCAGTTTCCAACTGGGAGGGTGCACAGCAGGAGAAAGGGGGTGTCTGTGCCCCGTGTGTGGGGCAGCTCGGCCCCCTGCCCTGGTTGGAGCTGCACTTGTGGGCATGGGGGGTGCAGGGAGGGGACACGAGGCAGCAGTGCTGGGACGATGCCTTGGCCCCTGGGGTCTCTGTAGGTAGGGGGTTTGCTGCCGACGGGGCAGGTTGCATTCCCCTTGCACCCAAGGCCGGCTGGGGCAGGGATTTATAGGGTGTCTCATGAGGTGGCAGAGCCCCGTGATGGTGAGTGGAGAAGGGACCCGCCGCTGAGCCAAAAGGGAAACTGAAAAAGCTGCCGGCTGCTGGGGGGGACGGGGGGGCCTTCCCCC